CTCGGATGAAGGCCCTATCTCCTATGCAGTCTACAGCCAAGTGAAGACCATGATGATGATGATTCTATAAAAAGTGTTCACTGGTTATACTGTAGATTGTTCACCTCAGGCTTTGAATAGCGAATCTAGTAGTGAGAGTAGAGTGACTCGTTATACGTTCAATCTTCCGTGGCTCACCAATAAGCGCCCAGAGACTTTTCGTATGAGTGATGTACCGAGCGTTGTCAAACGTGATGAGAAGCTCATTAGATCGTTAAAACGCAATAATTGTTATGATTGCTATAAGAAGCTTATTGATGACTATCTCGCTAAAGATATAATTCGTAAGACTGACGTCTCAGGCGCGAAGTTGTTGTTGCCACACTTTGCTGTACTCAAGGATAGTCTCACTACGCCGTGTCGGCCAGTATTTGATGGTCGCATATTTCAGAACTTGTTGTCGAAGGGCGATGTTGGACCTATTTCTTGTACGCCCAGTTTACTCGCTATGAGATGTTATAAGCATGTAACCTTACTCGATTCTCATAGGGCATTCCTTATGATACAGCTCTCTGAAGCTTCGAAGGCGTGGGTATCCTTCTACTTCGAAGGAGAATATTATCAGTTTAATCGTGTAGTCATGGGTCTCCCACCATCGCCCGCTATACTACGTTATAGCACTCATGAGATGGTATCTGAAGTACATCGTCGTACGTCGGTTGCCCATGACTACTCTATCGTTGACTATGTCGATGATCTAGTAGTTGCTAGTAATGATTCTTCTACCAGAGACACCGTCGTTGTAGAAACTAGATCGGTCTTCGGCTCGCACGGATTTTGGCTCGATCCGGCTAAGGAGTGTCATGAGGATCACACTGGGCGTGTTAAAGCTTTTGGAATGCTGTGGGATGGTCCTACTGATTGTTTACAAGTCATGCCTATACGTGACTTACCGTCACCGGTCCTTCAGTATGTTGATCCTCCCATCATCTTAGAGTCGAGTGATGTCCCTAATCTCAGCTCAAATGTCTTCCAGTCCGTCTCTCCACTAACCCTTCGAGAAGCGCTATCGTGGCTTGCCAGCATTTATGACCCACTTGGTACCGTCGCTGAAACCGTGCTCCGTGGCAAACTTGTACTTCGCTATGCTCATCGATGTGGCATCACATTTGATCAACTCTTACCAGGCCCTTTGTATCGTGAATTCTACAAAGTCTACCAAGCTCTCAAGTGCCCGAAGCCTGTCCCTCGAATGGTTGACCATCAAGTTCTACACGTCTTCGTTGATAGCTCAAGCTACGCTCATGGGTGTACTGTTCTCGACAATAACATGAACAGGGTGTATGCTAAAGCCATGCTACATGAGCTACCACATCTCCCATGGACCATCGTGCGCAAGGAGCTGTTATCCCTTAGATATGGTCTTAGCCTCGTCAAGCAGCAACTACTTCCTAATCTCTCCAAACAGGAAGCCACTCGAGAGTTGTATGTCTATACTGACAATTCTGCCAACTTCCAACGTGTCAGGAAGGCTCTACGAGATGGCAGTCCTTCACCGGATCTACCAACATGGGAAAAAACGTGTATTGCCTCTATCATTGAGTTGGCCAACGACTTGCACCTTACTCTGCGGTTTATACCGGGACC